CGTGAGTGTGTGTGTGCGTGTGTGTGTGAGTGTGTGTGTGTGTGAGTGTGCGTGCGTGCGTGTGAGTGTGCGTGCGTGCGTGTGTGAGTGTGCGCGTGAGTGTGTGTGTGAGTGTGCGTGAGAGAGAGTGTGCGCGTGTGTGAGTGTGTGCGCGTGTGAGTACGTGTGCGTGTGTGAGAGTGTGCGCGTGAGTGTGTGTGTGAGTGTGAGTGTGCGTGAGAGAGAGTGTGCGTGTGTGTGAGTGTGTGAGTGTGTGCGCGTGAGTACGTGTGCGTGTGTGAGAGTGTGTGCGTGAGTGTGTGTGTGCGTGAGAGAGAGTGTGCGTGTGTGTGAGTGTGTATCTCTCAGATAGGTCCTTCAAGGTATCTTGGAGAGGTGAGGTCTCCAAGTCACAACATCTAGCTACTGGGGTGCCTCAGGGCTCAGTTCTTGGACCACTTCTCTTCTCTGTCTACATGGCATCACTAGGTTCTGTCATTCAGAAACATGGCTTTTCATATCACTGCTATGCTGATGACACTCAACTCTACCTCTCATTCCATCCTGATGATCCGACGATAGCTGCTTGCATCTCAGCATGTCTAACAGACATTTCTTGCTGGATGAAGGACCATCACCTTCAACTCAACCTGGCTAAGACAGAACTGAACCATCTTCAAGAATCGAATAAAAAAACATCTCTTCCATCTTTCTTTGACCCTCTAACTGTAGCACTCTCTATTCTATTTTAATTCTACTTTATTTATTTATCTGTTTTTATATAAAAAAACTAACACTAGCTTTCTGTTGTTTTCTATTCTATCTACTAGTTTTTCTTTGTGTGTGTATATATATATATATATATAGATATATATAAATATAAAACCTTGCTGCGTGTACTGCGTTAGGCTAACCGAGGCTTGTCATTTGCACTTGCATATTGTTGCTCTTTTGTTAGTTTCGATTGCTTCTATTGTCATCATTTGTAAGTCGCTTTGGCATCTGTTAAATGACTACATGTAAATGTAATCACGTTGGAAAGGTCGTAGGCAGAAGTAGTAATGAACTCCATCTGATTTTCTCCTCCAACTTCAAAATCATCTGACATCATTGTTTTACCTTTATTTATTTGTTTTAGGGGCGTTTGATTTGGTCTTAAACCCTGGGATGGTGTTTCCACCTACGTCACACGTGTGACACAATCGCAGAGCTAGTGCAAGATGAGCATTTGCATTTAAAATGCATATAAACTGTAATTTATTTGAAGAAAATGACCGATCGTTTCACTAGATAAGACTTTTATACCTTGGCTGGGATCGTGTAGAGCCCTTTGAAGCTGCATTGAAATGGCGATTTGAACCCATTGGGAACAATAGAAGTCCACTATATGGAGAGAAATCCTGAAATGTTTTCCTCAAAAACCTAAAAAAAACATTCTACTGAAGAAAGAAAGACATGAACATCTTGGATGACATGGGGGCGAGTAAATTATCAGGAAAGTGAGCTGATTCTTTAAGGCCCGTGCACACCAAGAGCAGTAACCATAAAGTTCTAAAAATGGTTGCAGAGAACAGTAGACAACTACAACGATATAGAAGAGCGACATCGTGGGGATTACTTTCAGAACACTTTTTCCAGCTGATGACCAATAAAACACTGACAGGACAGCTAGTCAGGATTCATTCGTATTTAAGCACATTTAAAACAGCGGAGAAGCTCTACACAGCAAACATCAAATTACTTCAGTGTCCAGAGCTAGTTTCGACAACATTGTTTTGCCTCGTTTGCAGTGAAAATAAAATTTTCATAATAATGTCTTTATTTCACTACATTTAAATGTAGCTTAATGAGGACATCTGCTGGTTAAAGCCGTGTAAAACCAACAAACTGATAATGACTAAAAAAGTTTATCTTCAAAAGCGAAACTCAGAGCAATAAATTCTCTCTGCTCCTCTTGTCTCTTGTGCTTTGGTGTTTACATGTCTCTCGTTACTTTGAATTGCAGCACGCAGATTTAGAAGAAACAGACGTACCATTGACTGGTGCGGACGCATATAAAGTTTCGTTATAGTTGTCATTATTGGTGTGAACGGGCTTTAAAATGTTGTTTACGCTGCACATCATCTCAGAACATTCCCCATCACAGAGCAATGATGCACTCTAACAGGAAAGTGGAAAATCCGTTTGCGTCTCACCTGCGTAGAGCTCCGGTGCGTACATCGCGTTCATCATATGACTCAATTTCCACCCCGCTGAAGCCACACAGAGAGAAGAGCCTCAGATTAACCACCTGGCCTCGTCGCTAACAACTGAACAAAACCTGAAAACTGTGGCGAGCTGGTTTTACCGTAGGGCAGCGTGCTGAGACCTTCTCCGTTAGTATATGGGCTAACCATCTTCTTATTGGTCACCACTCGAGCCGTAGCGTTGTTGACCTGTTCATCAGAGAGAGAACGAGCATCTGATCAGAGACGCAGAAAACAAAGCACTGGTGCATTCAATCTAGAGCTGTTCTTATCCAAACACCTGCAGTAAACATCATTCAGTCGCTGAGAATTACGTCATTAACATGTGCTGAAGTTCACAAATCTCAAAATTAAGATATATTAAAATTAAGTATATTTACAGCTACAGCAGAAATTGTGGACTCATTGATATTCCCTTATATTGCTTCATGCATTATAAAAAACTCCCACTGATTTTCAAACATTCAACACAAAAACCCAGAAATCAATGCGTAAAAGCAAACGAAAAACAGGGCATTCCATTGCTAAAAATGAAGGAGAGAGATAAATAGAGAGAAACAGAGATCACACATGACGAAATCAATACACTGTGCACGGCTCTTAGCAAAATCACATTCAGCCAATTACAGTTCATTAACCAGAAATGAGAATATCAGCCAATCAGCAAGCATCAGATGCAGCCTATGGACCAATCCAAATACTCTGCAGCCTAATCCCGCCCCCTCGTGAAAAAAACACATCATACCGAGAAAGAGGAGGGGGGGGGGGGGTTCAGAAACAGAGGGATGCAGGAAAGAAAAAAAAGAGCCAGTCGACATTCAATGAAACCACAAAAACTGGAGAAGAAAAGAGAGACAGACAGACAGACAGACAGAGAGAGAACAATCCACCCAATCAGAAACGTCAAACTCAAAAAGCCATCCAGTTTGTCATGAACAAGTACACCAAAGTGCGTCAAATGAAAGGAAGCCTGTGATTGGTTGTTGTCAGACCTTGTGAGGAGTGACGGAGTTTATGGGTGAGAGAGAGAGAGAGAGAGAGAGAGAGAGAGA